TATTTACATAGTATGTGAGTTATAAAAAACAGATATTATTTACTGAATATGAATAAAATATTACTTACTTATACGATTGGAGCCATCATAAATTTGACCAAGAGATAAAGACCGTAATTGCTTAAGCGTTTGATCTACAGTTGGGCGAAGTGAGAGCTCCCGATCCCAACATCTTGAATAAATCTCAACGAAAGTTAAAGGAGTTCCAATAATCGGGTCCTCACGCATATTTTGGGTTACGCTGCTAATGATTGAAGAATCATCCATTCCCGAAATGGCGGAAGACAACTAGAAATTTCCCAAAATATCACACCAAGACTGTAAATATCTGATTTTCTGTTCAACTTATAAGAAGAGTCTGAAAATTTTAGAGGATCGATAAAAGGCAAGACTCCGAAAATGGCGCTTTTACTTGAAATGACACCATTAAGATTCTTGGATAATCCAAAATCGGTTATTTTTATGTCTCCCTGTTTAACTAAAATGTTTTTTGTATGCTATATACATAAAAAATATATTAAACAAGTAAAATCGATATTTTAATATATTAATATAAAGATGCAGGAGATTACCAAATCACGGTGTGCTACATTCATTATATTATGAATGTAAGAAACCCCCTCTGCTAATTGAATAGCTATTTCAATTTTTTTCTCCCATTGAAGTTCGTCCTTTTTATCAGATAAATATCTTCTTAAATCATAATCAGCTAACTCCATTACAAGGTAACATAGGTCTTCTCCTACGTCTATATCAATTAAAAGTATTGTAATTTATTGCTTAACTTATCTTGAAATAATGAATTAACCTAACTATGACTTATTCCAAAAAACTTTATAATCCGAGAGTTTTCAGCCTTACTGTGTAATTTAAGCTAAGAAAGACAAGAAAGAGTAAAAAATTATATCTTGAAATCAAAGACCTTACTGCAATATTCGTAATATTCGTACCTCATTGAGAAAAACCTTGATTGTGTTCCTATCGTATAAGTAAGTAATATTTTATTCATATTCAGTAAATAATATCTGTTTTTTATAACTCACATACTATGTAAATA